TGACACTTATTTATTATTTTGTTGATCTTTCTTACTTTAGATTTTTTTTGGCTAAACTTGGATATGCGATTTAAGTTCAATTTTAATTTGTGGTTGTTGATTATCTTTTAGTATTTTAATCTTACAGTCATATTTATTTGTATATGTCTTTTGTTTGATTTTTTTATGGGTTTTAACCTTTTACTTATATTATCATTGTATGATTTCAATTGATTAATTTATAGTGTCAATAATCATAAAGAAAACATTATAACTATGTGTTTAGTTTACAAATTTCATTGTAATGTTTGAATATTTTTAAATAAATATAGCACTTCTATTTGTATAAAAAATATAACTTAGAGGAAATAGTTAGAAACAACTCCGATGTAAAGTAAGGATGACAACGGTCAGTTTTTTATCAATTAGGTCCGATTCAATATATATATAATATTGGAGTTAGACCTGATTCAAAAATTATATATCATTTATCTGATTTGGCCTGATATGAAATATATATACCATCCACTCGATCAGATTCAATTTTTTAGAGTATACATTCGACACGACTCAATATAAAATAATGACTTAATTAAAAATAATAATAGATAAAGGTGTACTATAACAATTATATATAAATTTATTTGAAGAAATTATATTATTACCCTCGAATCAGATCGAGTCAGAGTTTTTTCTCCCTCTATCCAAATCCGACCTAATCTAACCTCACTCCCTTAAAAAATCCATTTGACCCAAACTCATCAAGAAAATTAACCCTACCGAATTAAGTCGAATAGAAATCCGTCGTTTTGAGATTAAGTTGTCATAATCTCTCGATTCTCATAATCAAATAATTACTACGATAATATATATGTACAATTAATTGGGTCTAATTTTAATTATTAATTAATTCTTAAAAGTCACCATTCATACGTTATTATGTAGCCCTTGCCTGTCTCCTTATGACCCTTCATTGAGATAAGCATCAAGAAAAAAGATACAATATTACCAGCTATAAAACATTTACTTCCTCCTTTAAATTTAGGGTAAACTACGTATTTAATATATAAACTATCAGTTATGATACGTTTTAACATTTAAACTTTCAGTTTTTTCAATATCATATTTAAAATTTAGTTTTTTTTTCATTTTACTACCATACCGTTAAAAACTTTAATTTTTATTTCATTTTAGTACACTGTTCAGGATTTAACATTAAATTTTGAAAAAAATGAAAGTTGAAGTACTAAAACGGACCAAAATTGATAGTTTATGTACTAAACGCATTAAGTTTTTAACAGTAGATACTAAAATGAAATATTTCTTAAACTGACTACATAAAATTATGTCATGTCATACAAAATACGTTTAATGGACCTCGTGATTTATTTAGCGCGAGACCCATCAACTTTCCAGGTAAACTCATTTAATTTTTGGATAAAAACAATAATAAATGTATGAAATTCATTTTTTGTAGAATCGAGGTCTAACCTTGTTTTTCTTGCATAATGTGATGTCATCTTACGTGAGCAGTTTGAGGTTACTTTTCCCACTAAATAAATTTTTGAGGATTTTAATGCTTAAAATGATGATAGATTGATCGGTCGATCTTTTTTCCAATATAAACAGTATTAGGTTTCGAATGTCAATGAAAAAAAAAGGAACAATTTAAATAAAAATATACATGTTTGTGTATGATTCATCTCCTCGAATAGAGAAAATTGATTATATGCTCTAAGTTCGGAATGTCATGTGTGGCATAATGAAAGAAGACTGATGTGTGAACGACAATATCGAATATGACTTGTGGTCATAGATATACTTCAAACTATACTAAAACAATTCATTATTAGATTACTTTTATTAATTAACGAGACTTGTTTTTTAGAAACAATATTTTTGAAATTTAATATATCTTGTCAATAATTTAACTTGTATGAATAAGGATAATAGTAGAATAACCCACTTGCATTGTAAGAGTGTGAAAAGAAGAGCAACTGACCATGTTTATTTGTCATTGGAGAATGTAGGGTCTATATCCATATGTTATGACGGTTCTTTTTTGTTTGCTAATGGCCATTGGGAATTATTTATATATATATATATATATATATATATATATATATATATATATATTTGTAGTTAGTTATTTGGGCACCTTGTTTACAAAACTTTCTCAGTGGTCTGATAATGACAAATAACTGGTGAACTACAATTATTTAATTTGGTTTTCGGTTATTTTTCAAACATCTCGTTCAATGATTTGGTTGGGAGCTTGCTTGGACTTGGTATTTTAAGAGAGATAAAATAAGATGGGTGGAACGAGACCAATCACAAATTTAGAAATATATATTTTTAAAATAAACACATATGGATTAATAACAAAAAAATTTCGTATTTAAATAGACATAAATAAAATTTTAGAAGAACATCTTTAGTAAAATAAATAATTAATATAAAAAAATTAAATTTTAAAATAAACATATGTCCAACATTGAATTGTACATAGATCGCAACTCAGACCAACATCTATGGGCCATTATCAAATAAGTTGCCATCAAAGTTAAGCAAAAGGTAAAAGCCGAATTTGTCTTTTTACAAATTTTCTTTTAAAAAACAGATCACGTATATGGACAAAATTCTCAAAATGTGACATTGTTTAGGTTACAGAAGAATAATTTTACAGAACATATGGAAAACAAATTCGTATAAGAAATAACGAAGTGTGGATTTAGACCATGCTCTCAACAATGTTGCAGTAGCTCACTCGCTTTCATAATCTGCTTCGTCGCCGAAACTGAAGACCGAAGCATCGGCCGCCATAGCTCTGATATCACTTGCGCCCGTCAATTCCGCACTGTTGTTAGATAAGCTCTTGGTTTTTTACAGCTAGCTTCGATGGATTGCTTGATGTTACAGGTCCGAATGTGGCAGCCGGTTGAGTTGGCTTACTTGTTGATGCCCCTGATTCCTCTTCCTGCGCTGTCTGAGAATATGTCATCGCCGTCTTCGGTCCTTGAAGCCTTCCTTTGTTTCGAATTCGCTTCGACGACTCGGTCCTTGACATAACTCGAGTTACCCTTGGTACCTTTGTTTGCAGAATCTGATTTAGGATTCGCCTTTAGCGTGCTGTCGTAGTCTACCATTACCAATTCAATATTGAATCCATGATATGGCACATTTATCTACAGATCAAAGGTAACAAATCACTACGAAACAAGATGTCTGAAATGAAGAGGAGACCCCTTTCACATACTAGCTGGCATTATCTTCTTTGTAAAGTGTTTACCTTATCGAAACCATCGAGATCCGAGGCGTTGAGCATCGTTCTGTTCTATATCTTTTCTGAATTTAACCAACTGGAAAGGAAAGAAGAAGGAAAAAGGTATCAGCCGTATGGAACTATTATTTACTTCTTAAACAGATTTTTGTCACACTAAATGTCCATGAAGAAAACATATTCCTAGAGGCATTAGCTTTCATTTTAATTAAGGAGTACAAAAAGGAACTATTATTTACTTCTTAAACAGATTTTTACCTCTAAGAATCCCAAAAGCCCCGAGCTTAGATCACCAGCAGGAAACCCCATAGCAATTATATTCTCAGTGGTATAAGTCAAATCCAAATCATACTCTCCCTCCTGTATAACATGCATTAAAAAAGTCATTTCATAATATCCAAAACTAAGATAGCAGTGATTGATGTCAGATGTTTTGATTAAAAACATACCACGAATAACACAGGATACCTGGTATCTTCTTATGTTTTGCGAGACTATATGGCGTGCTTTGACCTGCACAGCCTTCACTGCACTCAAAGATGAATCAACTATACCCTTTGTAAATGATTCAAGAGCAGTTTGTGTTCCAGTAGAGGTATGTTCTGCATGAGTATCTGGTGGTAGAGTCATCGATTGCAACCGCAGTCCAGGGCCACTGGTGAGTCGTGCAAAAGGCGAAGACCCTGCATTTCCAGCTTGAGATTCCTGAGGTGGCGGTGTAGGCTGTGGTAAATTCAAAATTCTTGCCCAAGAAGACATGCCAGTGGAGGGCAAATTAGATGGTGGGGGTTCCGGTGAGGTAATTGTTTTCACAGTGACAGTAGATGCATTCTCACCAGCCTTTGGAGGTTCAATGTCATAAGCTTTGACAGGAGGTTCCACAGTGGTGGTCATTGAATGACTCTTCATATCATTAATATTAGCTGGCCTTTCAACATTAGTATCAATTTCAGCAGAGGTTTCAACATCAGAAGCTTTAGTTTGAGATTGAGAAGAGGAATCAGCAGATTCTGAGTTCCTTCTACAACTCAAATGTTACACCAGTAATCTGAACAAAGCACGGAACTCTAAAATTATGAGTAAAAATCGCATAATCTAAGCATCAATGAGTTGCAATGTCGATTCAAGCAGTCAATCCAAAACTAAACCAAGAAAGAAGCACGCTGTTTGTTTACTGAACCAAAACTATTCCGAGCAATGAAGAAAAAATTAATGGAAACAAAGAAGTTTGAAATCCTCTGAAACAGATACAATTGTTTTCTTTTCTTTATATTTATAAATTTGATGAATCGCTACTTTTGCATTGCTCTTGGGAAACCAAGATTTCAAATTCAAAATGTAATTGTTTTCTTTTACATGTACAAATCTAAGCACCAGCACATCCTAATTTGACGATTAATTGAAATGCAATTTGTAAAAGATTAGATCTGTAAACAAAGATTGAATAGCTTTAAACAAGCAAAATCCAAAAATGTTCGTTAATTTCGCATTAACAAATGCAATTAAGGTTAGCGGCATTTTGATTTTGTAAAATAAAACTTTACCGGAAGTCGGATCCTTAGCTGGAATATGCGCTGCAATTGCTGAAGATTAACAGATCTTCAACTGTTTATCTGATTTGATTTGCTTGCATCCAAGCTCATGCCCGCAATTGAAATTTGATGATACTAATAATGATAGATTAACGATTCAGTAAATTTGATGATACCAAGTATTATGAAGCAGAACATATCTACAAACATGATGAAGTTCTTGTAGGGTGAACATAACATTTGAAACCCCAAAGTGAAAACAAAGATAAACAGTTCATGCATTAATAAACTATGACATTAGGCAGGGGCTTGTCTAGATGAACATTCTCTTAGAATGAAGCATCTTCGACGATTTCTGAATCTGCAACCTCGCGAACAAGATTTTTGGTGGATGGCAAACCGGCTACGACATCGGCTTCGATACCGCACTGGTCTACTCCCCTTATGCTTTTGAAGTAACCATCCTGTTCCGAGAAATTCGATAGTCAATATTTAAGCATTGTAAAGATGGGTTTTAAATGAATATGGAGACAAAGTTGGATGGAGAACATACATCACCCCAGCCTATGTTCCACTGGTTTGCAAGAAGCTGCAATGGAGGACAAGGTAAATATCGAAATATTAACCCGAATCGGTATATGATTCTAAGATATTAGGCCAAAGATAAAAGCCATTCAAACATACCCAGTAATCTTCTCCGTCATCTGAAGTTCCCCATCCAATCAGCTTAACTGCATGGCCTCCCATAATGCTGCCCGTCACATGTTTGTAAACTCCCAACTTGTAGTGAGCGAAATCCTACGAAAATCACGAAGAACCTATGGATATCAAACTATGTTGCTTGACCTCTTTTATTTACTTGAAATTCTTGCATGGGATCCATGCATAAGTAATAGTTTCAAAGCCAATCAAATCACTTTGAAATTGGTCATCAAGAGAAGCAGGAAACTTGATAAGAAAAGCATCGAGTTCATTCTTTACCTCATAAACAGTGAAGGAGAACTCAACCGGTCCATTCCGATAAATCTCTTCCATGATATCTGCTGGATTTGAGTTGATCCTATACGCACCGACACTGTAGTGTTTCGATTGCGTCCAGAGAAGGTTTCCATTAACACATTTTTTCACATATTTAGGAGTCGGAAATGCAGGCTTGCAGCCAGGGTGAGAACAACCAATGTCATCAAAGTATGGATCACACTGCAAGATGAAGAATACACGTTTAAAGGGTAAATTAAGGTAAGCTGTAAGCCTGTAATCCTAGTACTAAATTAGGTTAGATGTCCAGGTCTCTAATACAGAGATATCACCAGTTTTTTAATGGAACAATCTTATCATTTGATGTTTAGTTCGGGTAATCGTTTTTGTTTTGATCTTATATCTATATCCATTACTCACAAACAAGACCGAGTAACATAGTTTCCCGACATTATGCTTGCAGAAATCAATACCTTTTCAGTGACAACACCATTTTGCTCAAAGTATCTCCATGCAGAGATTGGATACCCTCCATCGCAACCATCGCCACATAGAAAGCCACAGCAAGCAACGGCATCATTAGCGGACAGAGATATGTTCTGTAATGAGATTGGACCCAATAATTTTGTGGTTCGTTTGTAGATGCAGTCAGATTTATTCGTATCTTTATTTTGTTTGAGCATTGGTTAGGTTTTTTAACATTTTCCTTTTATGATCACTGTGTAATATAGTTGACTAGTTTTTGTATCAATAATTATAGGAAAATGTACAAATTATAATTTAATTTACGTTTACAGTTATGCTTATAAATATTCATTGTAATTCTAGATATTTTTTATTTTTAATAAAACTAACGGTTTTTTATAAAAAAAATAAAATTTTTAAAAGTAATTTAAAATAATTATAAGTTAATATATGTTTATATTGATGGCTCAGATTTTATCTAATCCCCAAATTTTACTTTAGTGGACCTTCCTCGTGTGTAGAGCCAAAACAAAAGTCTATTTGCAAGAATATTCTTGATACATAATCAGTTATCCCACTGTAAGTGGAGGGGTTGAGAGATGGCGATGCAGACCTCATGATTGGCTTCATTTTAGGGTCAAATACAAGATTTCTTCAATGATAATGTTTGGTGGGGGAACCCCTTTTTTGGTTGGATTCTTTCAACTTTAATTAATTATTAAATCTTTAATTGTATCGAACAAATATTATTATGATCAATTGCGATTAGTAAATTAACAGAAAAATAGTAGTTTTTATATGAATCTAATGTGTGTAAATCCATATTCATATTGTTTATTATTTAATATGAACAACTAATAGCATAGGCGGATGCACTAAACCCCACAAGGGTCAAATATATCCTATTATTTTTAAAAAATAATTTAATTTAATTGAATGTATTAAAGAAAAAGAAAAAAGAAAATTTTGCATACCCATTGATTTTTAAAAAATAAAAATAAAATTTCAAACCCTATTTTTAAATTTCGAGATCCATAACCTACCAATAGTCCATTAAAATAAGATCAAATTATTTTTGTATAGATAAAAAAAAGGCAAGATTTGATATCAAAATCAACTTATGACATTGATATTTGGTCAAATATCTGCTGTCGTATGAACCATCCATTATGATCCCTCATACTTTGTTATTTTCCTTTAGTGGAAGCTAAATGTGCACCAGCTTTCTTAATCTAAACAGCAGCACTATAGTGCATTCACTGCTGTCGCGTAAATTATTATTTAATGAGTTCTAAGTTCTTCAAATTAATCTTTTGTGTAAAGTCCTCCGACTATAGAATACTACTTTATTTAGTCTATTAACTATTATAAGTTACAAAATAATCTATCGACTATAGGGAGTTGATTTGTTTAGTCTTTCGACTATTAAAAATTACAAAATGATCACTTGACTATTCATTAGTTTCCTAATTGCAAAAGTATTGGTCTTACACACCTATGTATTGCTGACGATCTCCTTGTGTTTACTAAGGGAAGTATTGAAGTTGTCTTGGTTGTTGAGCGTATCCTGGATTTTTTTCTATAAGATGGTTGGACTTCAGATGAATGCCTCAAAAAGCGACCTTTTTTATGTTGGGATTGGTCCTTCGAATTTGCGAAGTATGGTTGAGCTTACTGAGTTTGGAGTTAGCACTCTCCCAGTAAGGTACTTAGGAGTTCCTCTCGTTTCGAGGTGCCTTTCTTATTTGGATTGTGAGAGTTTGATTGATAAAATTGTAAGGAGAATTTGTAGTTAGTCATCAAAGTGTTTATCATTTGCAAGAAGGTTGCAACTTATCCAAGCTGTGATCTTTAATATCCAAAATGTTTAGAGCAGAGTTTTCCTTTTGCCTTCTAAAGTCTTAAACCGTATTGAAGGGATTTGTAATACTTTTCTTTGGAAAGGTTCGGGTGGTGTCTCCGCTAGGGCTGCTTGGGTCAGTTGGGAGAAAGTCTGTTATTCAAAATGTGAGGGAAGGCTTGAGATTAAAATTATCCTTGTCTGGAACAGAGCCTATATGTCTGTGGATCTTGTTTGCGCAAACTGGTTCTCTTTGGGTGGCCTGGATTCAAAGGTATATTTTGAAGGGTTGTTCCCTTTGGCATGTTACTCTGAAAAGCAGTGATATTTGGGCTTGGAAGAAGATTTTGAAGTTAAGGGAAGATTTTGTGCTTGTTGATTCTTTGGATGGGGGTTTCCAAGCGAGGAAAGTTTGGGATGTAGTTAGGCGCAAAAAGGACAGGGTTCCTCTGTTTAAAGTCCTATGGGGGTTTGGCTATTCCTCGACATTCGTTTATTGCTTAGCTTGTGCTCCTGGGTCGCTTGCCGACTAAGACAAGAATTTTACCTTGGGGGTCTTTTGTGTAATTCTGAAGATGAGTCTAAAGATCACCTTTTTGTCGAGTGTACGTTGTCCGGACAGATTTGGGGGGGAAATTCTTAGTGGTTGTTTTGTTAGTGTGTCCATGAGTGGTTGGGTGGATATGGTGAATTGGGTGCAAAACATGGTCAGGGTAAGTCATTAAAGGCTACGATTATTTGGCTAGCTTGGTGTGGCTACCTTTATTATGTCTAGCAGGAGCGAAATGGCAGATTGTATGGTGTTAGACCTCGGCAAGTTGAGAGGATCCTCTTTCAGATTAAAAGTGTTGTTAGTGGGAGGCTTAGGGGATGCTCCAAAGTTACTGCCTCATCTTTTGGTTTTGCTGCAGAATGGGGACTTCTATGATTCTTTATTTTTTTGGTTTTATACTAATGAGTTAGGGGTGTTGGTTTATTTGTTTTGTTTGTAAAGTTGTATAGGTGGTTGCTTTTGGATGAATAATTTTTTCATTTATAAAAAAAACTATTCATTATGTTTTAAACATATCCTTTGTCATTAAAAATTTAACGATCGTCTTAGTTGGACATTAACATGTTGACTAAGAATGATAGTCATTTGCGATTATGAAATCGGATTTTATCATATCTCAATCAGCATATTAACGTACAACTCAGATTACTCTCAAAATTTCAACAAAAAAAGACGAGTTTGGAACATAATTAATAGTTATGTGACTATTTTGTAATTTTGAATAATCAAGGAACTCAATAAAGCATTATCCTATAATCAGGGAACCATTTGTGTACTTTATCCTAATTTTTTTAATGTAAGCTCTAAGTTTATTTTGTATTCCATGGTGGATCCGTTTTTGTCCATCTTAAAATTGAAATTTTATTTGATTAATTATTTATTTTGTTAATCTTGTTATTCCAAATTTTTATTTATGTTAGTTTGTTTTGTGTTGTTAATATATGTATGTTCATCTTAAAAAATATATTTGAATCTATCATTGTTCGATAAAATTCTTAAATTAAGCAAAATCAATTTGATTATTTAATGAACGAAAAAAAATGTTGACTATTACGATGCTGATCTAGTAATTTACGGTGTTAACGTCTAACATGACAGTCCACATTATTAATATGATAATCCATAGTGCTAATGACATATAGCAATCTCAAGGGTTTCTAAGCCTGCACGGTTAATCATTTTCTAATCTCGCTTAATTCAAGCCACAAAGCAACATTTCAGCACTATCAAAGGTCAAGGATCCAGCTCTACATTTCCAGTACTTGATTATTGCAATTAATGCTGCACCGTTGATTCATGTTTATGAATAGTTTAATCCCTTGCACTATAAATACCCATCGAAGCGCAGTGAACTCGGTACTTGATTGAATTCTCTCGTATAGATAGATACATATTCAAAGTTATTTTCCTGCTTGATCATGGAATTTAGCCCCATGCATAACTATGCTGTTTTTGTTCTTGCAGTGATTGTTTGCAGCCATTTGGTTTTCTATGTCAATGGAAGACAAATGATATCAGTGGTCATCGGCGACAAAGATGATCATTACCGTCGACTGAATGTTGAACAACTATTGCCGCCCTCCATACCAGCTAAAACCTCACGTTTCGAAGACGATTTTCGGCCATATTCGCCGGGGAACACTTTCGAAGAAGATGACGGAGACGATAACGAAGGAACACCGGGAAGTTCTAGCTCCGTTAATGGCAAGCATTCATCACAAGATTTCAAACGTACGAGTCCAGGGCACAGTCCTGGTGTAGGTCATGCCTTTGTAAACAGGGATGTTTATGAGAAAAATGACTAGGTTTTTTTTAATAGTGAAGTTCAGCTGTAAGAAAAATAATTGCTCCTGCTGGTTTGGTGTTTGTAACTACTACTAGTTATTTTTTTATGCATGTGCCACGTACTGTACTATTTGCAACGTTTTCTTTAATCATCTTAATAATATATATATATATACATACTTATATCTAATGTATTTAATTCATTTTGGTTGCGCTTCCGATTTTTAAGATTTGTTTTGGTTAATTCGTATCGATCTACTACGTATATTTAATTTTGATATATGAGTTTGTTAGTAAGAATTGTTTACATTCACAAGAATTCTAACTCGAAATCTTGTATAAGTGATATCAAACTGTTTAACACTAACCGGTTGGTATTTACTCTTTTTTTTTTTAATTCATTGTTTTACGGCAAACCTACCCAACTACTTTTCGGTTCTACGTGCCGTCCATCGTCGAATCATGATCAGCCAGGCAGAAGACAAAGTTGCAGAAGCCAACGGGGGGGGGGGGGATGCTCGGTTTCTTTATCAAGGCAACATGCGTGAATAACGCCGACGGGGATTCTGACAGCGGAGCCGAGTTGTCCAACACTTGCCGTTAGTTAATGATTCTCCGTTAAGATTATTTCTTTTGCTCAGTTCGCCGTTGTAAACAATAGGTTGATTTGTTATAAATTAATAACTAATTAAATTATTATTTTTAAAACATCATTCGAAAAAAATGCTTAAAAGTCAATAGCCATTTATATATTTATAATATATTATTTTAATTTTGTAAATAATTTTACCTTAAATTTCTATTCTTAGACATTAAGGAACTACCTCGTTTTATTTTTTTTTCTTTAGTCTATTTTCACCGAATCTCCCTACAAAAGTACCATTCTACGAATTCTCAAAATTGCCCCTAGTGGACTTCTAGACGAGGCGAGGACAACAATGGACCAAAACACTGAGCTCTTACCTTGATTGACGAGCCTCCTCCGGTGTGGTTAGGCTCGAGCCCCAATCCACCAACGCGATTTTCCTTTTTTGCGCTCGGTCAACAACTGCAATGGATCCTATCTGGCAACCCGCCGATCGGTGCAAGCAAAATTAAACCAAGGGTAAAACGGATAATTCACACCTCCAAAATATTACTTTGGGCAAGTTAATGTGCATTCGAGGTCTGCCATGGTCCGGCATTTATTGATTACTATGATTTTATTATCAATGCTCTTTTTTCAAAACCTAATGTCTTAGAATTTCCCAAAACTTTATTTTTTTAAATTCCAATTTCACCCATAAGTATTTTTTACCCTTAAAATTGTATTTAAAATATTTTGGATAAATTATTTCAAGGGTTATTATATTATAGAGTTATTTCTATTTTAATTATTAAAAAATAACTTTAAGTCATTAGATTTTAAATTTATTTTAATTAAGCCATTGACTGTTGATTATTGAGTCAATAATAAGTAAATTGTTTTTTCTGAAATTAAAATCAAGACTCAGTTTAACTAATAGTATAATATTAAACAAAATTGTTATCGAATAAAATTAGGACTAAATTGAATTACCATATCAGGAAGTTATGTAAATTTATATAATAACATAATAAATTTAATTAAATTATTTTTAATTAAAATTAAGACTAAAATAATAGAATGTACAAGTAATTAGGACTAATATATTATTGTATAAATTTAGTCGATTAACATCAATAATTTCGTTTACGGTTAATAATTGATGGCTTGATTGAAATCAAACTGAAATTTTAATGGTCTAATTGATAAATTTTTATGTTTACTAGTTAAAATAGAACCAACCCTAAAATTTGTGACCTCCAAGGTTGTTTGTCCAAATGGCTTGTATTCAATTATCCCTTTCTACCTCGAGAATCTAATTAGAATCATCTGTACGACGGCGTTTCAAGGACTTGAATCTGATGGACAAGACGGTAATTTGGAGTCTTTTATTTTTCTCCGGCGTGCTTCTGTTCTAAGCTTTATATGTATATTTTTTGGCTGGCATTGAAATTAAGGAAAACAAATTCCCTAAAATTTCGGCCGATATCTCTTTTCAGATGATTTTCTTCTTTGCTAAAAAATGGAGTCCAAAACCCTAACGATCATCGGAGCTGGAAAACAGCTGCTCTCCATGCTCAACTCTCATCGGTAACTTTTGTTTTTTAGTCACTCGCGAACTTTCGTTCCCATTTTCTCGCGCTTTCTATCTTTCCAAGCACAGCTGATTCTAGTTCTCTTATCAGTTGTATCGCTTATTTCTTTTAGAACTTGGGAGAACTATATTGCTTCCTTTTTTTAAAAGCTTTTTTGAACTTCTGATTTGCTTATTTGGTTAAAAAACAGTACTTACTGTCTGTTTTTAGCTGATGATTTTTATTAAATTAACTAAAACGAGTTGTTCTGGTGAAAAAGACGTCGTTTTAAACTACTTTACATTTTATTGACTATTGAGAGCTTTTTGATGTATGAATTCTTTCAATTTCTTGCCAAGTTTTCGTTTTCATAACTTCTTCGAACTTGTATTAAGCTGAACTGGATGGGGTTTGCTGATGATGTGAAAGTGTTTCTGTGATGTTTTCTATAAATATATAAATTAGACATGTACCTCTGCCGGCGTATTTTATTAGATTTCTTAAGACCTTGTTTATTTATTACTTTAGACATTATCGAAGTTGAAAAAATAGTTTAAAAGAACGAAAACGGCTCTAAGCATGCCTCTTTCTATTCTTCAGATTGTGTAAACTGTTCTGAAATTGAGTTTGTTACTTGTTTTCCAATCATTTTCAATGAAGAGTAAAAGGGGGGGTAGGGGGTTAACAGCTTAGTTGCTTATATTTAGCTGTTAATAAACTCTTTTTCTGTTTTTTTTCTACTAAGCATTTTACTTGGTGGTTTCTTTTCAGGGAAATGTGTCATCCAGTTAAAGCATTTCAATTTTTCTTGGTTCTGTCATGTACCCTTTTTTGCTTAATTACATGTGAACCATGTGCTGTGAATGGGATGCCAAAAACAGACGAACTAGATGGGTGTGAAAAATATGGAGATACTCAATATGTTGGTTTTCAAGGAACTACTATCAGTGATTCACATCCGGGCTATGATGCAGGAACTTCTATGACAAGCTTAAGTGCTGAGAGTGTATGCACTGATTCTTATTTGTTCTGTTTTCCTTCTACATTGCCTGGATTTATGACTGAAGAAACTACGATTGAAGTAGGTGGTTTAGAAGTTTCTAGGGCTCAGTCTGATAGTGTTTCATCTTATGTAGAACAAAGTAACCTTAGGAGGCAGGTAACTGGAAGAAGTTGGTTGTCTAACCATGGTATGTTTAAATTATTAAATGGCCAGACGGTTTCATGTTCTTTATATTCAAGAGACAGTACCCATGAGTTTTTGTCAATTCATACCGAGGGTGCTAATCAAAATGATATTTCTTCATGTAGACAACCTTTACTAAGTCGGAAGAGTACAAGTATTAAGATGAAAAAGAACAAAAAGATAACAAAATTAGGTTCTTTGGACAGTTTATCTTCGCCTAATGTAGAGATAAATCCTCCTATATTGGATTGGGGCCGGAAATTTTTATTTTTCCCTTCAGTGGCTTACTTGACAGTAGCAAATACATGCAATGATAGCATTTTACGGATTCATGAACCGTTCAGTACCAATAAACAGTTCTATCCCTGCAATTTTAGTGAGATTTCGCTTGGACCTGGCGAAGTAGCTTCAGTATGTTTTGTTTTTTTACCTAGATGGGTGGGCTTGTCATCAGCTCACCTTATCTTGCAGACAAGCACTGGTGGCTTCCTGGTTCAGGCTAAGGGGTTTGCTGTCGAGTCCCCTTATGAAATTCAACCATTAGTAAGCCTGGATATTCCTTCTAGTGGGCAGTTGAATAAGAACTTGTCTTTGTTCAATCCTTTTGATGAAACCCTCTATGTGGAAGAAATAACTTCATGGATGTCAGTTTCTCTTGGGAACTCTACCCATCATACTGAAGCTGTTTGTAGTATGGAAAACTTCAAGGGCAATAATGTGGAAAGCTTACTTGGTGCTGAAGATTGGTTGGTCATGAACGGTGGCAAAAATGGTTTTCCACTTATGTTTATGAGGCCAAGCAGGAAGTGGGAGATTAATCCTCAAATCAGTGAGACCATCATAGAGATTGATTTATCCCTTGAATCAAAAGGAAAATTCTTTGGTGCTTTCTGCATGCAGTTGCAGAGGTCTTCTCAAGATTTGTCTGATATAGTTATGGTTCCTCTTGAAGTTGATTTGGGTAGGAAGGCATCCTATGATGACCCTGCAAGTTCTCTTTCAGTTTCTCTTGAAGCTCTGGTGCCGTATGATGGCAGTGAAACTGTTTTTGTGGCCATCTCTTTGAAAAATTCTGCTCCTTATGTTCTGAGTTTTCTTAAGATTGATGAAGATGCAGATGCAGGTGCCAAAGTTTTCCACATCAAATACATGGAAGGGTTGCTTCTCTACCCTGGTGCTGTTACGCAGATTGCTGCAACTGCTTGCACTAAACTACCAGTTGAAATTCCTGATTCTTCATCTGAAGTATCCAATACGATCAACAGTTGTAAATTGCATTTAATGACAAATGAGTCTATTAGCCCTCAGATTGATGTCCTTTGTGAGGATATAATCCATATTTGTGTGGAGCATCAGAAAAAATTATCCATGGCAAATGAACGTTGGTCTTATAAGGTTAAAACTGGCAACACAAGGGCAGAATTCTTGAGTAATGGCATGCAACTTGCTTCTTGGGCACAGGTTTGCTTATTTTAATGACAATGTCATAATTTGAACCATCAAAATTGTTTCTTCTTTCTATATGTTTTGTTTATCATTCTGGTGATTGATGCTCCATTCCTCTTTTATTCACTTAAAACTATCCCTTCTTGCACATGTTGTGGAACCTTTATATTGTGCAGATATGATATGTATCAGGATTGCTTCTTTATTAGGAATACAAGTAAGATCATAATATTGTTACCTACCGTTAAATGAGGATTGCTCCTTGGTCCATTTGGAATTGTTTATTGCCTGTATATGTTTATTATCATGCTTAAGCTCTCGTTATTCACATAGTAATTAATTATACTAGATCAATGTTCATGATATAACTAAGGTCATGCTACTGACTATATGTTGGTGTTGCAGACGGCAGAAGTGGATGAATTGGTACTTGGCAACTGGAAATCTCAGGGTACCACAGGTGGCATGTCAGTGCTTGGGGATCACGAGGTTCTGTTTCCAATGGTTCAAGTTGGAAGTCAATGCTCCAAGTGGATCACTGTGAAAAATCCTAGCACACAGCCAGTTGTAATGCAGCTCATTCTTAACTCGGGAGAAATTGTTGATGAATGTAGGAGCGAAGATGTGTTTATGATGCCCCTTTCTGGTAGCCTGGCTCACAATTCATCTACAATACCAATGAGACATGGGTTCTCTATAGGTGAGAGTGCAACGATAGAGGCCTTTGTTCATCCTAATAGTAGAGCATCTTTTGGGCCGATATTGTTTCACCCTTCAAATCGATGTGGGTGGACAAGTTCTGCACTGATAAGGAACAACCTTTCTGGTGTTGAGTGGTTATCTTTGAGGGGATATGGCGGGTCTATTTCTCTAGTCCTGTTTGAGGGCTCAGCGCCTATCAAGAGTGTAGAATTTAACCTTAGCTTTCCAACTTCTCTAAACATCTCATCCCCGCAAATGTTTTTTCACATGGAAGAGACTACTTATGCATGTTCTCAGCCATTATCAAAAGAGCTTTATGCCAAGAATACCGGAGATTTGCCACTTGAGGTAAGAAGCATTGAGGTTTCTGGGACAGAGGGTGTAGTAGATGGTTTTACGGTGCATGGTTGTAAAGGTTTCTTTCTTGAACCTGGAGAGTCAACAAAGCTTTTGATTTCATACCAGCCAGATTTTTCAGCAGCTTTAGTACATAGAGATCTTGAACTGGTTTCGAGTACTGGCATTTTTGTCATACCCATGAAGGCAGCGCTGCCTCTGCATATGCTTAATCTTTGTAGGAAATCAGTGTTCTGGATGAGGCTAAAGAGATTCTTTTTCACAATTCTTCTTTCTGCTTTATTGTTTCTCATGTTCTGTCTCATTTTTCACGGAGCAATGATCTTGAGTCCCCAAGATTACTTTTACAAGAGTGAGAAGAACAGGATCAGTACAATCCCGGCTGGAGGAGAATCTTCTTTTGTCGATCGCGATCAGAGAAACGGTAAGTTCTCTGTGTCAGCTGCACCGGACAGTTTGTTAAGTTCTGTTGAGGATACTAAATCTTTGAAGGAGCCATCTAATGGTAGATTCCCATATGGTCATCATGTTAGGGGAAACCAAGAGCCGCTAACTAATCAGAATGCAAAACGAACTTCTGAAAATGAAAGGGATGTTAACAGTTTCTTAGATCCTCAGAGGGAGATTTCATTGTCATCTTTTCCTTCAAAATCTGTGGTGGCTGGAAATCCTGATCCAAAGGAATCACCTCAAACTGGTAATCTTACTATTCGAATCGGGAAAGAAAAGGGAAGAAGTCGAAGGAAAAGGAAAGGTGGATTTAAAGAATTGATTGAAGTTTCAAGTAGTCAAAGTGGAAACTCCACACCTTCATCCCCCCTCTCCCCGATAACATCTGTAACACCGAATCGCACATGGCTACTCCATTCCGATGTGGAGCAATCTCTCGAGTCTAGGAATTCTCTTACGCATTTGGCTGACCAAATCCGCGAGAAGGGTAAAGTTCCTCAACCCATCACCAAAGCAAATGTATTGGGAGCTAAAGTTTCCATGGAGCATGGTAGCAGCAACTGGTATTCTTCGGCACAAAAGCAGGTAATACCAAGGAAAGTTGTTTTAAAACCAGTTCTCTCGCACTCTGCTACTTTTCCTTGTGCTAGTATGCCGAGCTCCTCTTCTCCTTTGGCTTCAACATCCGTAATTGCTCCTTGCGTTCGAGCTCCGGGGTCCAAACTGTCTGACCATAAAAACTTAAAAGCAGAAAGAAAGGGTAGGGTTGGAGATGAATATACTTATGACATTTGGGGGGACCATTTTTCTGGACTCCATTTGAGGGGTAGATCAAGGGATGATGTTGCAGTGAATTCCAGCATTATTTCAGAAAATAACTCTGATAGTTTCTTTGTAAGGGGTCCACAAACCCTCATGAACAAATCTCAACCATGTTCTGTCAATCAAGATGGGTAATGGATAAATAATTTAGATAAATCTTACATGTCTCGCATCACTAAAGTTCATTTCTTTCTTTATGTTAGAAAGGTCTAACCCACCGTATGCATACGTTCATATGCATGCATCTTCTTCCATGTGCACACAGATGTCACCTTGGCATATATTTCAGGTTGCATGTTCAAGTATATTTAAAGGTATATATTAATTTAAAACAAGGCCATTGAATTTACTTTCAAAAGTAGTGAGTAAACAATGAAAGAAAAGTTTTAGATATTCTCAAAATACTCCTTTGAAACAGAAAATTAGATCCTTCGTAAAGGAAGAATGTGTCCTATATGATTTCTGAAATTATATTTCTAGCAGAGACTGTAACAGCGCAAGTAATCAAAGATGCTCTCAGTGCAGTCATAACAGCAAGAACAACTGCCGAAAACAAAAACAGAGAGGATCAAAGAGGTATAATTGAATTACAGAAGGAAAACTGAAAAAAGAGAAAAAGGGCATGTACCATTCATCAACAACTTTGTCTTGTTCATCTTCTTCAACCTGGAAACTCTTGGTGGAAGTCTATGGACTGTGTCGCAGGTGGTTCCATTTTTCTTATTTTGAGCAGACGATGGTTTTGTCTGGGAATTCTGTGATTTTCTAGAGCGTCTTAATCTTGGGGACTTTATGTGGAAAGCAGAAACCGAAAGAGAAAGCTAGAACAATGAAGATAAAATGTGCGTTTACTTGTTCACGTGATTGCAATTGGCTCAGAGTTGAAAATGAGTCTGAATTGAAGGTGGATTCATCACTAACTGAAAAGGAGAAGGCGTAAATCCCAGCCATTGAATCGATCCAACGGTGGAAAACATGACACAAATACCTTCGTCTTACATTAACAAATAACTTGGCTATTTAATTTGAGAATCTCCCGTTTCTTTAGAGGGTAAATTAGGCATTTAATATCTAAACTAAATAAAAAAACTAAAACTATACCTAAAGTTAAGGTATGTTTCATTTTAGTAGCCCGTCGTTAATTCATTTTAGTAGTCCGTTCAAAATTTAGCGTTAAATTTTGAAAATAAAATAAAAATTTAGGTACTAAAACGGATTAAAACTGATAGTTTAGATACTAAACGTAATAAATTTGTAACAAAGAGATACTAAAATAAAATGAAAAACTAAATGTAAGATATGATTTAAAAAAAAAATCAAAGTTCAAGTACTAAAACGGATAAAAATTGATAGTTTATGTATTAAATGTGTATTTTACCCTTCTTTATATCCCTATGATTCTGTTATTAGAGTGAAAGCAATTTAGCCTATTATACACAACATATAATTTTCCAACTAAAATTTAGACGACTTATATGTATATCATATAATTTTCCAATTTTTGTTAAAAACTTGCACTATTATACACAATTGGTTGCTGCATTGGATTTGAAATAGTACAAACTAAAACCAAGACGGCCCAATCTTTGAGTAAACAATTCGCCGATAAAACGCAGGATCAAGAGGATCCGAGCCAACCCAGATCAGGCTATGTATATACGGTTAACTTTAGCCTTCTAAAAGTCAACTATTTTGGACTCATGGGGACTAAACATGAAAAAAGAAAAGAGCTTTTCTCTATTTTTGGAAGCTCTAAAAAATACAACTCCAGCAAAAACTAAATCCTACTTATTATGCCCTGTGCCTGGATTGATTGCTTCCAGGATGGAAATGAGCATTTAGTGACGGTTGATTCGGTAGCTCGGGAGCTTTTACTTCGGCTCTCCATGGCCACAATTTAAAAACGGCATCCTCCGAGGTGTTGATCGCGATGCTCGAGAGCTTTGCCTTGTACACGGACGACCTCGGAAAAATAAATATACACTGTTCTGTTTTCCTTTCTGCATTTCTCATCTGAGAATATGGCTCTTCTTAGACTCCTGGTTGATAGCCCTACTAAAAGGGCTGGGGTGATGGGAACTTTGACCCGAGCCTGGAGGAGACAAGCTGGGAAGGGTCTTGAGGGTCGAACAAGGAGAACTACGTGCAGTCACTCTTAACTCGGAACTCTGGTAATGAGATCGTTGTGTAGTCTCTCTGGAGAAAAAGAAACAATGCGTGAAGCTGGAGCTGACAGTCCAAGAAAATGGGATAAGCCGAAGGCAATGCAAAAAGTTAACTCTTACCTCTCAGGAGTTGCAGTTTTCGAACTTCGTGGGCTTTGTTGCACAGGCACTTTATCCGGTTTGAATTCAGATCGCTCTCTAGGACTAAGGGGCATGTCCTGCATGTATATATATTAAATAAGTTGGTAAATAAACGATTAGATGTCAGCCGACAACATGAGGGGAAGTATTCTTATTTACCGTGGACTTTAGCCCATTAGAAGAAGATGAGGCACCCGACCGAGGTGAGCATCTTACAAAACGGTGCTCTAGCAGCATGCTTGCAGTCGGTCTCTTTGCGGGATTCCTTCTGAAGCAACAGCGTAGGAAATCCTTCCCTTCGGGCGATAATGTTTCGGGAATGGGAGGGGTATCCTTCATCACTTTAAACATGGCCGCAGCCTACATTAACAAAGAGAAAAAGGTGACATGTTTTGGTTTTCTCCAATGTTCGGAAAGATTAATAGAGTAAATTAAGATACATCAGGTGCTTACCCCTTCATACTCACTCCACGGTGCTTTACCGGTGAGCATTTCGATGATCGTACAACCCAAACTCCAAATGTCAACAGCTAGAGCAAGATCAGAACTATTATCTTTCTGCATCACGGCTTGCATAAGCTGCAGTGAAACGAATGATGTCAGTAAGTATAAAATACAGACAGAAACCCGTTGATATGTTACAAGATAGTACCTCTGGAGCCATCCAGTACGGACTTCCCTTCAAAGATAGATCAGCTCTTTGTCCGCTAAGCTGTGCAACAAACGGGTCCAAAATTATTCAAAGCTGAATCATAAATCCGACAACTAACTAAGACCTTCAAGCAAGATTTATAGGAGGAACAATACGTAATGGAAGACAATACAGCATTATCAGAAGAAAAGAGGACTATATGAACTCACATGTTTGGACATGCCAAAGTCAGCAAGCTTGACAACTCCGGATGCATCAACAAGCAAATTAGCCCCTTTAATATCTCTGAATAGAACAGGTAAACAAGCATATTCACGCAAAACTACTACAATAGGAGGTTCACTTCCTCCCCTGAAACCAGAAATCAGGATACAGTGCTTTGTACCTGTGGATTGTCATCGTGCTATGGAGGTAAGCCAACCCGGAAAGAATATGGCGAGTGAAATTCCGGACAACAGATTCTGTTATTGCACCACAGTGATCACGAACATATTTATTAATCGAACCAGGATGAACATATTCCAGATATATGTAGAACTTGTCTTCAACCTTCATATGCATAATTCGAATGCCTTAATAGAATTCCATAAGATAATAATTGGAGTAAGAAGGGGTGAAATATTAAACACGCGATTCGCATGTTACTTACTGTTTCACTACCATAATACTGAACTATGTTTGGATGCCTAAGCTGGCTAAGAACCTTAATCTCCTGCAATTAAATTAAAAATTAAGGAGGGTGGAAAAAAAAAAGAAACGCACTTGGTAATCATTTAATCTGCACTCCTCCCTCTTCAGAGTGAAGAAAAACCTGCTCTAGTTGCTTTATAGACTCTGCGGATTTTGGGTCATCGGGAAATATCTCAACTTCCTTCATTGCACACAAAGCTCCAGTTTCTCTGTCAAAAAGAAGCCCTTTTAGCATTTAGATAGGAAGAGCAGAGGAAACAAATGTATATAGAACTTGCATACCTATTACTGGCGACATAAACGCTTCCAAATGTACCACGTCCGATAAGCTTGCCTTTTTTCCATTGACAATTCATCGGCAACGGTTCTGGTTTAGTTGGAACTTGGGGAATGGGAGCTAATGGTGAAGCCATGGCTGCTCCGGGTGGAAGAGGTAAGGGATGGACAATAGGGCAATTACTTTCAGGTCGGGATGACGAGAACTCACGTGAATGCTCCTGATGTCTTGGTGAAGGAGGTCCACTTTGGCTTCCATATGTTCGACGAGGACTTATATTTGGACTGTGAAGAGGAGTATTATCGGTACTAAACATGGTGCAATCATAGAACGCTGGGGGAGGAAATCCCGCCATATCTAATGTCGGCATCTCTGGTGCAGACCAGACTTGTTTGCCTGTAGGAGGAGCAATGTAGTTCGGAAACATGTTACCGGTACTCATTCTGTGTGGACTAAATGGACTCGCAGGGGCACTCCTAATAGGAACATTCACCCTAAACTCATCCTGTGAACTATCCCCTCGATTCACTTGTTGATGTAACATCTTAAGGGATGATCTTATGTTCCAATTCTCCACCATCTTCCTCAAGTTACGATACGCGAACATACTGTCATTCGAGAAATCATCGAACTTTCAATCAACAGAATCCATAAAATGAAGTTACCAGAATGCCAATACCGGCTCTAAAGTACGCATGAAGATATCAATTTATCAAGAACAAACCCATCAATGAAAAAGCTTTGAAGTTTCAGATTGAGCATTCAGATTATCAGTTAAATAACATTGCAATTATGAATCAATCATCCAATAGATCATAATTTGTTCTCAAAGTTACCAAAAATGAATAATTGAATATCAATCTCCTTAACAAAAATTGCAAAATCTTATTTAAAATTTCAAGCTAAATATTAGTTAAAACTAATAATTGAGAAGAAGAAAAGAACACCTTGAATTGGAAGGGGTTCCTTCTGCTTTTTCTCTATCCCTATCCTCTAAACCTCTACTATATCCAACCTCAGTCGGCGACGACAACCTTTGCTCGCCGTCTCCTTCAGGAACCGGAAGCGGAAGCGGAAGCGGCAACGGCGAGAATAGTGTCCTCGAAGTAGGAGTCGGAGACGACGACAATGGAGAATCGAAACTGGCGGACGGCGGAGACGACACCAGCTCCCGGTCGCTGAGACGCGTCAGCTTAGGTCCTGCAATGCGAAAACCCAAGTAATTGTGACGGAAACTGTGGCGTTGCTTGTGATTACGCTTCCGATAGCTACTATTATCTTGAGAATACTTCCCCGAAGAAGCCGCAGGCGCGGAGGCGATGGTAGAAGAAGAAGGCGACGACGAAGAAGAAGAAGAAAGAGAAGAAAATGAAATATTCTGAAGCCAACTCATGGCTTGCAATCATTCCAAAAACAAAAGATAAATCAAGTAGAAAAATTTTCCCGAAGAAAAATGAATCAGAAATGCAATATTCCAAGGAAAATCCAAAAAAGAAAATGTTTAAAAAAAAACAAAGTTCGGATTTGAACGCAGTTCTGGTTTGGAAGTATGGATGCCGGGAATTCAGTTTTCTTATTGTTCTGTCTGAAAAAACCTCACAAAACAACACGCTTTACAACAGAAGCTTTTTGTTTTGCTTTTAAATAGGTCAAAAAAGTCTTTTTCTTTTAAGATAAAAGTCTTTTCTTTAGTTAATGTTTTATTTTCTCAAAATTTTAATATTTTTTTATTGAATTTAACAATTATTCAAAAATTCATTTTAATATAATTATTTATATATTTTACTCAATGATAATGT